GCAGGCTTGTAACCTTTGCAAGGTTAGGGGGAAGAGAAACCCCGAAGCTTTTTTTTTTCCTTCTTTCCGGTAGTGAGTTTGCTGCACTTTCCGGCCCCCCTCTAGATTCTGACCCCCGTTTCCCCACCAATGTCTCGGGTTATTGAGCTCACCTCCCCTTCCAGCGCCGATGTGTGGACTCGGAGCCCTGAGCGTCTCAAGTCTCCCCGCTGTTTTCTGTGTGGCGTGCACTCTCCTTGGAGCACTGTTGCGCAGACCCTGGGGCTTCTGTGGCTGGGTCCCGCGACTTTGCTTCCGTGCGGTGGGTGACCTTGTTCTCCCAGTAGGTCGTCCGATTCACGCCTGCTCCATTCAGAAGGGTTTCCCCTGCAATTTTTGTTTGGTTCTATTTTCTGCGGCTACCGTAACTCCCCTTTTATTAAACTAAATTTTCCCGGACTATCGGTGCGCGCCCTCACTATTCCGCCATCTTGGCTCCGCCCCCCTGTTGAAGTTTTAAGACTTAGTTTGACATTGATCTTCTGGGATGATTGTTTTCCTCATCTTGAAGATAAGTTAGCTGTTCCTCCCCTGTGTTCGTGAGTTGCTTCACGCCAGTCTCTGTCAGAGTACTTCCACAGCCCTTTCACAAACTTCCTTGCACTGTTTTCACTCACAACACTTCTCACACCAGACACTGAGCCCCCCTCAGCCAACAAATTCAGAAACAGCCAGATGAAAGAGTAGCATAGGCCAGGTTTTGGGTAAAAGAACACTGGGCTTCCATGTCATGTCTCAGGGTGTCACCTTACCAGGAGCTCAATACACCCACCAACTCACAAGGTCTCTCCCAACTTGGAAGCTCTCCATATCTAGTTGTATTACTATTTTTCTTTGGAAGTGTTAGTGCGTAGATGTGATTGATTAAAACATGGACTATTCATGGGTGGCTAACTTAACGTATAGTTCCTCTGTCATCCTAGGAGGTGGGTAATCCTATCTTGTCTTTCTGTTGAAAAGCCCCATCCTGATGCTTTCCAGAGGCTCCCAGGCCCTGGTCCTCTCACCAGCATACAATGCATACTCTTGTCACTGTGCAGATTTCAAGGGGTTTAGAGCTGTGAGACAGGAACTGAAGCACAAAGACTAAGTCACCACAAACCACCTACTTCTTTGACTCCCAATAGTGTCTCATCCTTAATACATAGTCTTATGCATATCTTCTTATATAAACCTTCTTATACCTGTAAGATATATATTGTCTCTATATCCCACAGAAGTGCCCTTGGCATTAGGCTTAGATCATAGATTTCCTCTTTATGAAGCCTGCTCTAGGTTTCAAATATGACTCAAGTTAACACATATTTAAATCTTTGTTCAAGTTGCCTTTTATTTTTCCCTTGACAAGTCCCTTGTTTTTCTTGTAACTTATTTGATCCTGCGGACACCAAGACTTGATTCAAATCTCTCTGAATTCAAAGTAAATTAACTCAAGAGTTAACTAACCTCTTATTCCTTAGACGGTGTATCATGGAATGCTCACTCAGCATTGTTTGCTTTCTGGGAAGTTCTTTTCTCTTATATGAGCCTGCCTTCTCCAGTTGAATTGTAAACTTTTGAGGACCGTGATCATATATTCTTATTCCCTCACAGTGCTTCAGCGATTCTATGACATTCTTCTGGTTTGGTTTTTGGGCAGGTTATTTAACAGCAGGAAATGAGTCAGATTCGTATTTAGAGTTCATGTGCTCCTGAGGCTGCCATTTTGGTAGCAGAAAAGACCCCAGAATGACGATCCTAATTAGTCTGATTTTACCTTTTCTGTAATTTGTAGAGCTGGCATTTCACAGGGAATAAATTGAAAATAGAGTTATAAAATACCTTGCTAAAAGTATTAGTGAAAGAATCACCTCATTGTATGGAAAGGGTTATTAGAACATTTCCAAGATAATGATAATAATGCCCTTCAAAAAAAAAATAAAAGCCCACAGGGCAGTTGTAATCAAAACAGCATGGTACTGGTACAGAAACAGAAGGATAGACCAATGGAACAGAATTGAAATACCAGAAATCAACCCAAACATCTACAGCCAACTTATATTTGATCAAGGATCTAAAACTAATTCCTTGAGCAAGGACAGTCTATTCAATAAATGGTGCTGGGAAAATTGGATTTCCACGTGCAGAATCATGAAGCAAGACCCCTACCTTACACCTTACACAAAAATCCACTCAACATGGATTAAAGACCTAAATCTACGACCTGACACCATCAAGTTACTAGAGAACATTGGAGAAACCCTTCAAGATATTGGCACAGGCAAAGAGTTTCTGGAAAAGACCCGGGAGGCACAGGCAGTCAAAGCCAAAATTAACTATTGGGATTGCATCAAATTGAGAAGTTTCTGTACTGCAAAAGAAACAGTCAGGAGAGTGAAGAGACAACCGTCAGAATGGGAAAAAATATTTGCAAACTATGCAACAGATAAAGGGTTAATAACCAGAATCTACAAAGAGATCAAGAAACTCCACAAAAACAAAACCAACAACCCAATTAAGAGATGGGCCAAGGACCTCAATAGACATTTTTCAAAAGAGGAAATCCAAATGGCCAACAGACACATGAAAAAATGTTCAAGGTCATTAGCAATCAGAGAAATGCAAATCAAAACCACAATGAGGTTCCACCTCACCCCGGTTAGAATGGCTCACATTCAGAAATCTACCAACAACAGATGCTGGCGAGGATGTGGGGAAAAAGGGACACTAACCCACTGTTGGTGGGAATGCAAACTGGTTAAGCCACTATGGAAATCAGTCTGGAGATTCCTCAGAAACCTGAATATAACCCTACCGTTCGACCCAGCCATCCCACTCCTTGGAATTTACCCAAAGGAATTTAAATTGGCAAACAAAAAAGCGGTCTGCAGCCTAATGTTTATTGCAGCACAATTCACAATAGCTAAGACCTGGAACCAACCTAAATGCCCATCAACGGTAGACTGGATAAAGAAATTATGGGATATGTACTCTTTAGAATACTATACTGCAGTAAGAAACAACGAAATCCAGTCATTTGCAACAAAATGGAGGAATCTGGAACACATCATGCTGAGTGAAATAAGCCAGTCCCAAAGGGACAAATACCATATGTTCTCCCTGATCGGTGACAACTGACTGAACACCAAAAAGGAAACTTGTTGAAGTGAAAGGGACACTATGGGAAACGGTGACTTGATCAGCATAGCCCTGACTGTTAAGGAACAACTTAATACATTATCCCTCTTAGTAGTTTTTTTGTCTGTTCTACTTAATATGACTGATTTAATTCTGTAATTAATACACAGTTATTCTTAAGTGTTGAAATTTAACTGAAATGTGATCCCTGTTAAACATAAGAGTAGGAATAAGAGAGGGAAGAGATATATAATTTGGGACATGCTCAAGCTGACTTGCCCCAAATGGTAGAGTTAGAAACATACCAGGGGACTCCAATTTAATCCCATCAAGGTGGCATGTACCAATGCCATCTCACTAGTCCAAGTGATCAATTTCAGTTCGCAATTGATCATAATGAAAGGACTAAGAGTCAAAGGGAGCACATAAGCAAGTCTAGTACCTGCTAACACTAACCGATAGAATAAATAAAGGGGAGAGTGATCCAACATGGGAAGTGAGATACTCAGCAGACTCATAGAATGGCAGATGCCCTAAATAGCACTCTGGCCTCAGAATCAGCCCTAAAGGCATTCAGAGCTGGCTGAAAAGCCCATGAGAGTATTTCAGGCATGGAAAGCCAAGACACTCTGGCAAAAGATCTCTGTGAGTGAGATCTCAGTGGAAAGAACAGGTCTTCAAAGAAGGAGGTACCTTTCTCTGAAGGGAGGAGAGAACCTCCACTTTGACTATGACCTTGTCTAAACAAGATAAGAGTCGGAGAACTCAGAGGGCTTCCATAGCCTTGGAAACTCATGACTGGAGCATAGGGAGATTACTGATGCCATAGACAAGAGTGTCAATTGGTAAAGTCAACAACAGGAGTCACTGAGCACTTACTCCTCATGTAGGATCTCTGTCCTTAATGTGCTGTGCATTGAGATTTAATGCTATAACGAGTACTCAAACAGTATATTTCACTTTGTGTTTCTATGGGGGTGCAAACTGTTGAAATCTTTACTTAATGCATACTAAACTGATCTTCTGTTAAAAAAAAAAAAAAAAAAAAAAGAAAAGAAAAGAAACTATCAACTCCCAACTTGACTCTCACTGGGATTAAACATGACAATAGGTCTGATCTGATTTCATCATCATTAAAAAAAATCATCTATTATTTTTCACTTTATGTTTCTGTGTGGGAGCAAACTGTTGAAATCCTTACTTAATGTATACTAAGCTGATCTTCTGTATATTAAGATAATCGAAAATGAATCTTGATGTGAATGGAAGGGGAGAGGGAGTGGGAAAGGGGAGGGTTGTGGGTGGGAGGGACGGTATGGGGGGGAAGCCATAGTAATCCATTATTCGTACTTTGGAAACATATATTCATTAAATAAAAGTTAAAAAAAAAAAAAAGAAAAGGCAAAAAAAAAAAATACTCAAAACAATTTATAAAAGCTACCCAAAAAAAAAAAAAAAATAAAAGCCCACAATATTTGCATGGGAAATTACAAGGTGCATTTTCTTTTTCTGTTCTAATTTTTTCTCTTTATAAATTCTCTTAATTGTACATATTTATGGGTACAGTGTGATACTTTAGAAGGCAATGTATAATGATCAAGTTTATTAGCACGCACTTATTCATTCCAAAAATATTTGCTAAAAACCAATAATGTAAAAAAAAGTACAAAACATATAGTTCCTAAAGTCTGCCATGAAAGATAATACATTATTTAACAATTGAATTATAACTTATATATTTTTGATTTTGACAATCTGAACATAAATGCTCTTTTAAACTGCTAACTCTAATTTGTTAACTAGAAGAACCTTTGAAATTATTTTTCTCCTGCTTATGTTTAAAGATTTCAGAGACCTGGGATATTCAGTGTCGTCTTTACTGATCATTTGCTATGTGAAACTCTGTCTTTTCATGGTCATTCTGGTCATCGTGGGATGCATTTTCTTCAAGAACATAGATGACTGCAGGTAGGAACTGGAGACTGAAAAGAAAGCACAATAGAAAAAAATCATCATAAGACTTTGAGTTCATAATGTGCTGGAATAGCCTGGATACATTAAAAATCATTTATTTTCATTTTACTTGACAGGTAGAGAGACACGCAGAGAAAGATAGAGAGATAGTCACATGCACTGATTCACTTCCTAAATTCTGACAACAACTAGGGCTAGGCCAGGTTGAAGCCAGAGGCTGGATCTGGGTCTCCTATGCGGGTGGTGGGGACACAAGTATTGGGACCATCACCTGGTGCTGCCCAGGGTGTGCATTAACAAGAAACTGGAATCCGGAGTGGAGCCAAGTCTCAAAATAGGCACTCCAATGTGGAATGCAGGCATCCCAGTCAGCATCTTCAAGACAGGTCAAATGCCTGTCCCATTGCTGTGTTTTTACTAACAAGATAAAAATACCTTATTTTTCAACCTAAACAAAATATGGCTTGGCAAAAGGTGAATAACAAGGCTGGAGAGTTTTTCTACACCCCTCAGGTTATCTGGCCGGTTCTTTTGTCTGACCCTCTTGGCTTTCTCTGCGCCCTTGAGATGTTAAGCAATGTTGCAATGTCAGGAGCCACTACAATCACCCCCAGCGGGTCAGTCATTCTCTGATCTTCTATCCCCTTCTTGCTTACTGCAATTAGCAGGGCAGTTGCATTGCATGTTTGAAGTGGTCATTGAAAAAATAAATAGCTGAATCATTTTTATCACAATTTCCATTTTGGTAGAAATTTTAAGTTGATCGCAAATAAGAAACTGTATCATTGGAGACAAATTGGAGATCTCCTTACCTTTTTGACCTCCAGAGCCTCAAGTACGTTACAGATGTTGGAATGGGTCAGTGAAGGTAACAGTAGCATCTTCAAGATGCCCTTCTATCTTCTACGGCCACCAAAAGCCGAGACCTCACCTTCACTTGGCACAGGTGGTAATTCCATAGTAAAAAGTACCTGTCTATTTAAACAAATGTCTTTTTTTTTTTTTTTTTTTTTTTTGACAGGCAGAGTGGACAGTGAGAGAGAGAGACAGAGAGAAAGGTCTTCCTTTGCCATTGGTTCACCCTCCAATGGCCGCCGCGGCCGGCGCACCACGCTGATCCGATGGCAGGAGCCAGGAGCCAGGTGCTTTTCCTGGTCTCCCATGGGGTGCAGGGCCCAAGCACCTGGGCCATCCTCCACTGCACTCCCGGGCCACAGCAGAGGGCTGGCCTGGAAGAGGGGCAACCGGGACAGAATCCGGCGCCCCGACCGGGACTAGAACCCGGTGTGCCGGCGCCGCTAGGCGGAGGATTAGCCTAGTGAGCCGCGGCGCCGGCCACAAATGTCTCTTAATGTAAAGTTATGGGTGATTTGGGCTATTCTACTTTTAGCAAAACTATTGGGAGGAAAATGTAAACTATTGAAAAATACTATATAAATATGGTGGCGTAATTATTGGAACAAACAACCCAAATCTTGGCTCATTCTCAGCACGGAAGTTTAATTTGTGCTCATGTCTTGCTTTAATGTAGCTGGAGCTCGGGAATGGGACTGCGGAGGTGTTGCTCTAAGCTCTCCTATTATCCTTTTTGTCGTTTGGCTGTGCCCTTCTCTGAGTGGTCTCTGTTCAGGTGGTGAGTAAGAGACAGAGAGGCTTTTACGTGGGGAGTTTTATGGGCCAGGCCCAGAGTAGCAAACACTTCTGCTCGCATTCCATTAGCCAGGACTCAGTCACGTGCTTGTACTAACTTCTGCAGAAGCTGGAAAATGTAACCTAGGTGCCTTCAAAGAGAAAGAAAACGGTTTAGTGCATACCTAGTCAATCTACGTCCACAGAAAATAGGACAAATACTGAGATTCCTACCTGCTCTATTAGTAATTGGGCATGATTCATGAAATAAGTGAATTTGTAAAAAATGCCACAAATAGGAGTACATGTGATATAAGTTCTTTTATTTCTTTTTATGATAATCTCCCCACAGTTAAGACAAGACATAGAAAGGGAAGAAGTTTAGTAGTATAATTCTGCAACAGATTGAAAAATCCTGTGGCTGAGGTGGCTGGTGCCTGGCCCAATGGTCTTCTCTCTTCCCTCTATCCCTGTAATTGGTCAGTAGATTTTAGATTTCCTGTGATAAAGAGAGAAAGTATCCACCTCACGTGACTTTCTTTGGTCAATACAATGAGGCAGAAGTGACAGCATAGCAAGAGGTCCTGCACGTTTCCACTTGCTACTCCATTAGAAGATGGTTGGCCCAATCTGCTGAGGGATGAACCACACAGAGTAGAACTTGGTCACCTCAGGCCCACTTCCTGTCTCTCTACTGAGGTCAGCCTCTCATAGCCTCCCCTAGACATGCGAAGTAGCTCAGTCAAGCTCAGCAGACCTGACCTCCTGTTGCTCTCAAGTCAGATGAGCAATTGTTGCCACAGAGGTTTTGTGGTTGTTTGTTCCACAGAATTGTGTGGCATTCTTCTTCTTAATAATATAACTCTGAGTTTGTTTGTTGTGAGGATGTACTTAGCTGAAAGGCCGCCCACACCAGTTTTGATAAACTATACATAAGTATAAATTTTGTGTGATATTTTCAGGAAAGTGCTTCAAAAATAAAGAAAAGAAAGGATCCTCTTTTGCTTTTCCTCCTGATCTCCTGGAATGCAATGCTGGTGTAAAGATTGAAAGTCTGACAGCCAACTTGAGCCATAAGTGACTGAGGATAAAAGGCACTCACTAAGCTGGAGAGAAAGAAAGATGGGAGCAACCTGGCGTGATGACCATGGAGTTGTCCTATGAATCCTACACCACCCACCTGCTGACATCCTCTGTGTGAGCATGAATAAACTGTTTTGTTCACACCACTGTTGTTTTGAGATTTATTCTACTCACAGATGAACTTAATCCTAATTGATACAAAAACCCAGTACATCAACCTGAAGATTTTCTGTTAATCTTGCAACAATGTGTTATGTTTTACTCATGTGCATGTTCATGGCCTGTTTTTGTTCTACCCTAGAGGTAATGAAACAGAGATAAATTCAGAAGATGGGAATCAGAGACATGAGAGCCATCTCTGATAGTTCCTGAAGACCTGGTTATGAAAACTCAAGGGATGCTGTGCAGTTGTGATGGTAAAGGGCTCGGGGATCTGGGGATGTGCAAGGCTCATCCAATGTCACTCACATGCTGACAATGCTGCAGTACTGGACTGGGAAGATAAAGATGCTGTTGTGAACTCTTAGGATGTGAGTAGGAGAATTGAATTTATGAATTGAAATTCAAAAACTCTGTTGTGTTAGTCTTTTTTCCACTGAATGGATTCCATTATTCCTGGAAGACATGAAGTAGTGAATCCACACTACTCCTCGACCCTATTCCTGTTGGCATGATTTATGGCGTGGTATTAGATTGAAAGATTAAAAATCCTCAACCCTCATCCTCCCAGCTCTACATAAATATGAGAAAATTCTCATGTTTTTTTTCTTTTCTGAACATACATATACAAAAATATATGTAATATATGTACAACAAATTCATGTGGTCCTAAATTGAGGAAAATTGGGAAAAACTTTTAGCAAAACTGAGTTGAGAGCCACTAGGTGGTGCTTCAACTTAATTTTGAAGCAAGTTAAAACCTACTCAACCTCAAGAAAAGTCATCCTGAGTTTTTTCTTTAATATTTCTGTGTAATTTCCCCTCTGTTTACTAATTTTTAGATCTTCTCGGGTGGTTTTGGAACAATGACTGATGGAAAGGGGGAAGGGTTGATATAAAATTAAGAAAAAAAAAGTATTTTCAGTCCCCAAGCTTCAATTATATTACTCTTTTCACTTAATTTTATTTACCAGATGGGATAAGAGTAGATATTAATAGGCTCACTTAAAGGAAAGGGGAATATGAGGACGTTTTAGAGATTAAACCAAAATTAGCACTCATTTCTTAAACTCAGAGTTAAGATCACAATTCACAGAAGAGTAATTAGGTGCTCAGTGTTAATGGCTTCAAATGTTTAGAACGACAAATAAAATTAGCTGGTCTGCTCCACTTCCCGAGTTTTCCTCCGTATTTCCCCCCTCAACATTTTTTAGAGGTATACGTGATATTCTAAAGCTGAAAGGAAGTTGCAGGTCAATTATCTCAGCCTCTTCATTTTACCAGAGGAAACTAAGCATCTCAGAATTGAGTGGTCATCAGTGTTTCTAAGAAGCCAGTTGGTCTGCTTTGCTTGCTGTTGAGAAGGTGGCTACCCTAGGGCCATGGCCAGACATGGCATATCAGAGGAAGAAATGACCATCTCTTCCTTGGACTCCATGTCACTAGTGAGGATCAACTGCCCCCCCACCCACCCACCATGACCAAGGCCACATGACAGTTCTTTATGCAATGTCTGACATCTGACAAAGGGACTGAGATTATACTTCTATTGATTAGATTTTTGGTGGAGCTGGAGTTATGAACAATACCATTCAACAGACACACGCTCTGGTGGGAGAGAAGTGAATGGAGACCTGGACAAAACTGGAACTTTGTTATGAACACAGAACTGCACAAAGCATGTGAAGATATGATGAAGGAGCTGACAATAGCCAAACTGAGTTTTATAAGGTACAAAGCTCTACAGTTGGAAAGGAGGAAGGATCAGGGAAGAAAGACATGCCAGGAAGAGAGGACAGTATGGGCAAGTACAGGGAGTTGTGCCAGGATGTGTCTCTTTCAGGGAAATGGGGAAACTATATCACATAAATATAACATGTCCTGAGGTCATCTGGGGACAGAAGACAGCTCTTCTACTAAGAATGCCAGGAGAATTTTGCAAATCCAGCAAATCTTAGTGAATTTATAATGTTCTCTGGACAGAATGTCCAAATCATTAGACTGATTCACCCAAAACTGATTTTAAGATCAAATAAGGAGCCAAGAATATTGGCAAATATGCAGTGGGGAACCAAAGAGAGGCTGGAGAGAGGCAGTGGTATGATAGATGATGTCAATGATCTCAGAAGGGCTGGGCTTGGCTTCTGAGCTGGCTGAAGCTGGCAGAGTTGAGACCCTTCTCCCTATTCTGGTTTCCCCTCGGTGGTAGAAAAATAATTTTTGCTCTCAACAAGCTGAAGAAAGGGTTTTTAGGGTAATCCTTATATGTTTATATATGTCCTTGTAAAAGGTACTCTAAAAACACCAAGCCTTGTCATTCACCCAACCTGCTTTCGAAAACCCCTCACGCACCCTGTCTATCTTGTAGCTTCCCCAGGGCTACACAGGGGCCATGGAACCTGGAGACCTGGATCTCCTTCACCATGGGCACTGTGTGGGCAGGCCATATCCTTGGAAAGGCTAATCTGGCATGTCACCACAGAGCCTCGGAATGAGCATAAATGCTTCTGTAGGCCTGACTGAGGCTGTGTGGGAGACAGGCGCCAGATCAAGCCATGTATTTTGTGTCTTCTTCCAAGAGCTTATTTACAATTCTTGCATTCCTGATTTTAAAGCTTTTGGCTTGAGAACAATGTCTGTGACATAACACCTTTCAAAAAGCTCTCCCGTAAACTTTTCTATATTCTGTGTCACAGAAAATCACAACACCATTTATAGGACGTTGATTGAAAACCAAGCAGTGCTCCAAGATGCCAGCTCCAAGAAGCTACAGTAAATGGCCTGGACTAGGAAGAATTATTAAACAACTTCCAACAAGAAGCATCTGTATTTTGTCATTCTCCCCAAAACAGCATAAAATGTGCAAAGGGAGGCCACCGTTTCAGTGGGGGTGGAGGAGGTGGGTTGTTTGTAACATTTTCCACTATTCTGCTACATCTGCAACCCAAATCCCATTACTTTCCAACTGCCTATCAGAGGAGGGTGTTTGCTGATGCAGCCCAAGGAGGCTTGCTTGCTTGCTTGCACTTGCAACCTAGAGGATGATTTAATGGGAAGGATCTGGGTGTGAAACCTTATCCCTGTGCCAAACGGGGCTTGGGATTTACATTTTTTAATTTTATTTTTGCTTTTTTCCCCCCAGATTTTTATCCCAAACATGCTTTCTTTGGCAGCCTCCGCAGAGAGTTATGAAGTCATAGTGTGTAAATTATCCGACTCTTACTCTGCAGGATGGTAAAACAGACTTAGGACTGGGAAACTGCAGCTGTACTTGGGTAAGGGCTCCGGCCAGGCGGAAGCAGGAGAATATGTGGCAAAGCTCATGTGCACCCTGCGGAGGCTACGTAATGATCCACCTTCAGCTGTCATGGTGCTGCTGAGAGATGCTATCTGTGGTTAGCCATCACTTGAAATTTTTACTTCTCAGAATCAGTGGTCTTCTTTTGTTTAGTGGCTACATTTCAAGGGGATCAGGAAGTATTGAGTTTATTACTGTCTTTTTTTTAAAAAAATGACCATTTATTTGTTTGAAAGGCAGAATGCAAGGGTGGAGTGGAAGGGAAGACAAGAGAGAGAAAGAGGAGAGCGAGAATTTTCCATCCACTGGTTCACTCCCCAGCTGGGGTTGGGCCTGGCCAAAGCCAGGAGCCAGGAACTCCATTCCACATGGGTGGCAGGGGCCCAAGTACTTGAGTCAACTTCTGCTGCCTTTCCCAGGCACGTTAACAGGGAGCATGATCAGAAACAGCAGTCCAAACTTGAACTGGTGCTCTGAAATGGGACGTTGGCATTGCAAGCACCGTAACCTGCTGCACCACAATGCTGGCCTTTAATCCTGTATTTCTTATTTGTGTGTAAAAGATGAAGAATGTGTCCTGCCTTTTCGATTGAATTTCCCACTTTGCTTCTCTTATTCCTACCCACAAACACACTGTTCAACTTTCCTAAGGATTTCTTTCTTGCTGTGTTTTCTTCTTTGGCTTATGCTGTTCCTCCTATGACAAAGATCTTTACTCCCACCCTTGCCATTCAAAAGACTGTCCTCTCTTCAGTGTTGTGAATCCATGAAATATTACCGGGTGCCTTTTTCTGGGCAAAGCATTGCCCCACTACAGCAATTTTGTAGTAGTATTTGAAGGGTTATCAAGGCACTTGTACTTATTGATATTTGTATACATGTGTCCCTAACATTTAGTTGTGAGAGCCAGGAAAGTAGATACCACATCTCATTTATTTTTCTATCTTCTAGAATAGGTAAATTAAAAAAATTCCAGAAACAAAAAAAAAACAAGATATCACTTTTTCATTTCAGATTGGTAACATTAACAATTTTGATAGCATTAAGCATTAAGAGGTATAGGGAATGATTCTTGATGGGAGTCTAAGCTAACACAGGCATTTTAGAGAGCAGTTGGCCAGTATGTCCTAGTAATTCCACTTTTCAAGATCTACTCAAAGTACTACTATTCTTGTGCCCAAAGAAGTAAATATTTGTTTACTATTTGTTGTAGTAAAGGATGGGAAATGAGTGGCACTGTGATGTTTTAGGGGAATGCACTGCCAGGCAGCTGTTAAAAGGAATGAGGTTGTCTGGGCAGTGCAGCAGAGAATAGCCCAAGTCCTTGTGCCCCTGCCACCCATGTGGGAGACCTGGAAGAAGCTCCTGGTTCCTGGCTTCAGATCAGCTCAGTTCCAACAGTCACAGCCATTTGGGGAGTGAACCAGCAGATTGGGAAACTTCTCTCTCTCTCTCTCTCTCTCTCTCTCTCAAACTTCTCTCTCTCTCTCTCTCTGTGTGTGTGTGTGTCTACCTCTTTCTGTAATTCTTTCAAATGAATAAAATAAACTTTAAAAAATAGAAGAAAGAAAGTTTAATGTCCCAGAGTGAGGTGTGATCCTAGGAACTAGATGTCATTACAGGAATTCTCTTGCTTTAATACACATTATAATTAGAAGCCTGATGTGACAAAGACAGTTTCCAATTCTA